TTTGAAATAGAACACTATCCATGGTTTCCCTCAGTAACATCCATTTAAGAATACAACCTGATGAATTGTGAATGCAAGTTATATACTATCCTTGCTTTTTGTGGATTTATTTTTAGCATGAGCCACAGTGGAGAGAGGATTGAGTCTTCAGCATCTGGAAGAAATGACTTGACGTTTTTTTTGGGGCGGGGGTGTTTTGTTTTGTTTTGTTTTTTGACAAGGTCATATTCATGCAGAAAATATGAGCACAGCATCAACATGGTCATATCTTCAAAAGTACAATCAAGACATCTTAATACATATCCCTTACATACAGTACATGTCCATTTTTTAGTTCTCATTCCTTATATGGAAGTGGCACAACAGAGCAAGGCACTGCTGTGCCCCATACTATCTGTATCCATGTGCCATTGGCTCCTTTTTGTGCTTTCCAACATATGCTACCATTAGTACCTCTAGTAAAGCAATGAGCCCACTGCTACCAAAAATAGCCTATTACAATGGGTAGACTATTAGCCTTTGTATATGAGATGCGGACATATCTGTCTTTACATATAATGTTTTGTGCCCAGTCTATCCACTACACTACATTAGCTCTTATACAGTATAATGTACTGCTTTGACTATATTTTCATTTTGGAGAATCTATCTTTGATCCAAGTGTTATTAGATTAACATCTATATCTCCTTATCACCATGAATAGACGTGCAGGCTAATATTAGGACTGTGACATGTTGTTTATATTAAATCCTCCATAAATGGATGAGAGGAGTGCTTACTATTTTAGCCATTCAAATGCACTTAGCATAATTGACCTATTGACTACAACCCTGAGAGGTGCTAATCTTTCCTAGTTCTCATGCTCTCACTGCAATTTCTTGGGGTGCTTGCCAGGAAGAATCCCCATCCCATCAAGTTCACAATGGAATTTAGGGGAACATCTCAGGACTTCATAGGCTTTGGCTGACCTTACAATAGCTTTGACAGATAAATCATTTAGCGTGTGAACTGAAATACTGTAAATTTCTTCTCATTCCATCCAGGACTGTGGATTTCTTATCTGTCTACAGATGCAAATGTACAATACAGCATTTGTCATAGGATTCAAGCACCAGAGAATTTTTACCTTGTTTTTAAAAGTTTCTAGCCCTGTTGTCTGTGGAGCAAGGTTTAAAAATCTATGGGAGATACTTGTTGAAATTTGAGAAATCAAGGAAAGAGAGTTGTCAGTATTACAAAATTGGACTATTGAGCAATGGAGAAAACCTACAAACGAAACTTCCCCACACTCACCTGACAGGGTGTGTGGGGAGGAACTGTCACAGTTTGAATTTTGTATAAATAAACCATAAACTGTTCTTCACACACCACCTCATAAGGTTTGGGATACAACTTATGCAATCCTGATTCGGTGTATATTTCTTTCATATTTTGTTTATGGCCATGGTTGAGAATGGCTGCTGTTGAGAACCAAACCGAAATAAAGGGGTAGGAGCTTATAAAACAAGACTTTTTTGCAAACATTAGGAAGAAAAAAATCTAAAAGGCTCAGTTCAAATATTTGCCTTAAAAAACCCACATTCTGCTTTACTTGACTTAGGTTTGAGTGCATGAGTGTGCCTTTTAAGCCCCAGTGGGCCATCAGTATGAATCAAACTAGACAGTGTGCTGAGCATGTTTTTAGAAGTGATCCTCCCTGAAGTGGCGAAAGACATTGGACTCAACACAGGCCTCTGTTAGATGGGTTGCTGTGAAGAGGCAGAGGAATAGGGGAAGGAAGTCCATTTTTGCCAAGCTAGAGGAACAAGACCTCAGTCTGGATCCAAGCCAAATTAACCAAATGTGGATGAGTAAAAGGCGGGGGAAAAGCTGACGCCAATTCAGAATGGGAGAGAAAAGATGTAGACTCCTGGAAATGCATTCTCATCCTGTCAGTGCAAAACATATTGCAACATAAAATTGTCATTCAGATTTTGTAGGCTCAGTGTGTACTTTCTTTTCTTTCCAGAGAAAATTTGGCATCTCCATTGGTACAGGATCATCATTATAAATCATTCCTTCAAAGCTGTATTTGGGTCACATTCTCTTTCAGGGCAGGTCACTACATCCTTCTGCTGCTACTGTTTTCCTGTTAAGTATCCATTTAATCAAGCATTGCATATTGCAATATATAATGTTTATGTATGCACCTTATTATAGGAAAGGGAACTGTATGTAATATACTAACAATGTTATTATATTGATTCAATTAATACAATAATACTGCAATTCCATTGAATGGCTATGAACTAATTTCAAAGTAAGGATGAAAGTACTGTATCTGCCTATTTTTTGGTCTACGTCTGTTTCAAATACTCAGATGTGTTTATTGCAGTCAACCTTATGATGAAACAAATTAGTTGGGGCTTTTTATAGCCATGTGCCCAGGCCCACTGACCTGGTCTGTGCTTGAATTAAGGTCATACATATCAGGGCTGACCTGCCCTATGCCCTTTTAGTGACACTTCATCCTGATCCTTGTCCAGACTTGTGACAGTATTGCTTCATTTCTGGTTCTCTGGGAAGATTCCATTCCTGCAAATGAGGATATAGGAATGGAAAGGCCATTGAATAGCTGGGTGCTCTATTTTAGTTTCCTACTTTTTTTCTCTCGGCTGTCAGAAGAAAGCCCAGAAGAAAAAGTGAATATGTGACTTTAAAACAACAGTGGGCACATTTGTCTTCATTTCATTCCGAAAAGGGCATTGTAAGAAGCCTGCAGTTCCACACTTTCCATCCTTTCTCTTTCCCCTCCTCCTTCCTGCTGCCTGGATCTAAACTTAGTGATGCTACAGCATGGATTTTGCTGATGAACTTAGCAACAGCAAAAGCAGGGAAAGCTCATTTTTAAGGTAATGAGTGTGCTCCTCTTCTCCCTGGCCACCAGTTCCATGGCATCTTCCTAAGATGGTCTTTCCCTTTTCAACTCCTAAGGGCAACATGAGAATGTCATGGTCACCCAGAAAATGCACAAACACCTCATGCTATGTTTCACATTTACACATTCAAAGCTTACTTTTATAAAAGCATTGCATTCTTAATATGGGTGTATATCTGATGTATGATTTTTCGCTTTTATAAAAGCATTGCATTCTTAATACTGTATGGGTGTATATCTGATGTATGATTTTTCAGGGAGTCAGTGATTGAATTGGGATTGGGTTTCAATATTCAGAGAAGAGCAAAAATGTATGCATATTTATCCAAGAGATGCAGATCTGTTTCACTTTGAAGCGCAGACAAAACCAAATCATTGAGCCTCTTAAACTGGGAGTTAGCATCCTTTCTTACTCTAGAATTGTCTGTCATCCTTGAAACAAATAAGTTCCTGCAGCTGAGGAGCTCCTCAGATCTCTTAGGTCACAAGCATCTTATGTATGTGGTGGAGATGCAAGCAGTAGCACTAAAAGTAATTACGGCAATGATAATTTCTATTCACGTGGTTTGATATGGTCTAATAGCTAGGTGATGTCTCCTTTTTATTCAGTGTTTAACTTCTATAAATATTTATTCTCTCTTTTGTAGCCCTAATTAACGTATACTAATAGTTGTATAAAAATCTTGTGAATTGATAAACAAAAATACTAACTAGAGGCCAAATCTTTCAGGGAGAGCACATCATTAGAAAGTGACCCCTGTTGGTGTTTCAGAAATGCAATTCAAAGGCACACCTTCATGGCTGACCAATCATGAAGCCTGTGCTTTTTTCCTGGTGACCAATCATGAAACACAACAAACTGAATTACGAGCTTTGGTTGGTGTGAACATCTGCTGTGTCAAATTCCTATCAGATAAGTGACTCTCTCTCATAATGATCAGCTATCTCTCTGGTAAAGTTTGGCCCTGAAAGGACCACTGCTATCATTCCATATCAGAGGTTCCCAACCTTGGGTAACCCAGGTGTTCTTGGACTGAAACACCCAGAAACTAAAGCCAGCACAGCCAGTGGTGAAGATTTCTGGGAACTGCACCCCAAGAGCACATTGATTACCCACGGTTCGGAACAACTGTTCTGTATAGTAACTTCAATGGTCTGTGGTACCATACATAATATTATATGTTTTATAAACATGCAGAAACAGACAGTTAATCCAGGGATGGCATTAAGTGGGTGAAAGAACTATATTTAAAATATTCTTCATGAAAAAAAATCTATAGCATCTTGTGCTGAACGCTCTCTTTATAATAGAATATCCTCACCCTATACGTGCATTGGATGAGGGTTAGACTTTTTCTCCAGGATCTACTAGTTATTTGAATTCAAAGTTCTTGTGAGTTTAAAAATCCAGCTCATGTCAGAGACCAAAAGGGGTCTCATTTAAGATGCAATAAAAAGTGATACTGGAGGAGAGGACACAAGTGAAGCATTGCACAGATTATCTTTCTGCCATGTGTCAGCCTTGAGACACTTTTCTCCTGGCATTGGAAGTGAGCTACATGGAGAAAAACAAATTTGAATTAAGCGAGTTTTGAGAAGGAAAGATGAAGTTTCCGCTCTTCTGTGAGCAGGTCCTTTTGCTCTTAAAATCTTATTCCCTACCACTAAGTACTGTGAATCAGCTGCCACCCTATCTTTTTTGGCCTGGATGGAGCATACCAACCACAATGGAAAACGCAATGCCTCTAAGACAGAGATCCATGATGACACAAATGCCCCTGATCACAGTCCCAGAGGGAGAAAGCTACCCATATAAGTTTGTGTTTCTGTGAGTGGTGACACAGTATTATGCACACATCTAGACTGTTTTGTGCACCTTTCCTTGTTTTTCAGCCATATTCAGTGTTAATGGAAGATCCTAAGCAGTGCATCCATCACCTCTTCAGGGAAAAGCATGCAGAAGCTGAAAACTAAATATACACCTTTTGATGACTGTCATCACATCACGCCTTGCTTTTTGGTGATGCTTCCAGTCAGTTTACAGACAAAGATTTGTACAGACTTGGCTTCACATCAAGCCTTGCTTTTTGGTGATGCTTTCAGTCAGTTTACTAGACATACAGACAAAGATTTGTACAGACTTGGCTGGACTTAGTCACGGACTTTCAGTAGAAATACCACAATATTGCAATCATTCAGAAGAGAAATTATTTTCTCCCTACACCCTAAATTACCTAAACCAAGACAATCATTTTTCAACATATATCCAATATTCTAAAATAGAAATAGTACCTTCATCTGATTCAGTGTGACCAACCCTTTATGGGCAAGCATGTCATTCTACATTGCACATATACATTCAAGGGGCCGGGTGATAAGCTTGAAAGAGATAAGAATATTAAGTTCATTAATATCTACATTCTTCCAGTAACAGATGTGGAAACCATGGCTATCCTCAGTAGTATCTTCAGGGTCTCTGTCATTGACGGTACCACTTGCTTACCTCATTATGACACAGAATAGAGATTGACTTATACATATTTATCAAGCAGAGGGCAAGAATCGTAGAGCTGCACCTGAAAGATAAGAAATATATAATATGTTTCTGGGTATACAGTGATTTTCCAATTTGCACAGTACACTTTGATATATTTAATCAAAACTGATTTATTTTTAATTCTTAATTATTTAAATTAATTTTCATCATCTGTTCCCATTTACCAACCTTAACCAGATTCTCAGAAGATTTATATTTTGCCAAATATAATTAGCAAAATATTGTTGTTGTTGTTTTAAAAAAAATACAAGGCCTAGAGTAGCTTCTGGGAAAGCCCTGCTAAATCCTTCCAGTCAGCTCCTGTACAGGTTTAAATCCAGTTGTTTGTCCCAACTAGGACAGATCCACTGATTTAGTCCTATTGAAAGGCCAAAGGGCACAATTGTCTTTGATTCCTTCTTAAAGGGGTAACACAAGGATCATCGCTCACCTTCCTTCCTAAGTGCTTCTGGAAGCTAATCCAGAATTTCTGCTTGCAGCTGAGAAAAAGGAGAAAATAAAAATAAAAAGAAGCACCCAACTCAGGAGACTGCTGCTAGTGCCTTCTGTCCTGTCTCCACCATTCAAACTATGATCCAGCCTTGCCATTCACATTTCCTTATTTGCAGGAATGGGACATTCCTACAGAACTGGAAATACATGAATATAATGGAAACAGACAAGGAATCAATGGGACTTTTGTTAGCCCAATTGACTCAATGGGTCTACTCCAATTAGATTGATCAACTGAATATGCCAGTAGTCCTAGCTAACTGTTTAATCCTCTTCTTAGTATTATGCGGGATAGGAAAATTCTGCTGCTCACATTTCCACTTGCATAAGTGTGGTGTAACTCACATACATCACACTTTCTCTGTTTTAACTTCCCATTGAAAGAGAAATATCAGTCAGTTGGACGGATGAGGAATCTGGATGAAATATGCTTCCTGATTTCCCCTACATATTTCTTCTTTTGTATGAAAAATAAAAGAGAAGGAGTAGCAAGGATCCCATTCTGGAAGAACAAGAAAGAGGTACTCCATTAACATTTGATTGAAAAGGCTGTGGATCCCAAGCATTTTTGTAGACTCCCCTTGAATAAGGGAACAAGGAAAGAACTATGATCAGACCTAAACTGGCACATCTTCTGCAGATAAATGTGGGAGGAGGAATTTTAAATGGAAGGCTATGTGTGAAGTCACCCTTAACCTCCTATCTCTCTACTTAGGATGCAATCAGACAGGCATTTAGCCTGCTGTTTTGACCACTGCAGGGATGGGTTTGTTCATGAAAACCAAAGCAAACAAAAATTTCTAGGAGGAAGCATTCCTTTTAAATTGGTGCAGCAAATATTTGCTGTCAAATACACACTTTTTTTTTCACTTCCTCAGCCCCTCCATGGAACTGAGGAAGTGATTAATTTGCCAATATCCTGAAGTGGCTGTTTTAAGGTACTGCACAATATTGACAAAAGTACTTTTGCAGGAATGGGACGTTCCTACAGAACTGGAAATACATGAATATAATGGAAACAGACATCTCATGAGAAGAGAAGACTCCTTGGAAAAGACCTTGATGTTGGGAAAGTGTGACAGCAAGAGGAGAAGGGGACGACAGAGGATGAGATGGTTGGACAGTGTCATCGAAGCAACCAAGATGAATTTGACACAACTACGGGAGGTAGTGGAAGATAGGAGAGCCTGGTGTGCTCTGGTCCATGGGGTCATGAAGAGTCGGACACGACTAAACGACTAGACGACGACAATATTGGCAAAAGGCTAGTTTTTGGCCCGTTCCCAGTTGTCACACACACTGCCAATCAACCAAACTGGAGCAGTCCTTCCCATTCAAAAAGTAGAAGTCCCTGACAGGGACTCAGAAAGGTGTGGTTAGAAACGCTCTGGGGACTATTTGTTTCATTCAAACAATTATGCCATGTAATCACTGTCAAAAAAAGAGCAACCTAACCCATCCCCACAGCAAGCTAAACAGAAGAACTTAAGAGACTAGTTTGGATATAACACACTACCATTGTTTAATTAGTGCATCAAAATTAAAGAGAATCCAATGTGTAGTAGGAAAAAAACAACCGTTTCCTTTTTTGACAACAGACCAACATGACTATCTCCTCAGAAATTCCTAATTTGAACATATATTAGAAACTCTTCTTCACTGTCTCACGTATACCTCGATAAATGAAAAATTAATTTATCACCTATGTCTGGGGTTGTTTTTCACATTTTAAGATGTGCTCTAATAATGCACAACCCATGAAAGCTGTTTGTACAGAAACACCTAGACAGACAGATTTGGGCCACCTATGCTTTCTTGAGAATTTATCCTCATTGCCTCCTCAGCCTAATTTGATCATGGAAGGCTATGTGTGCCAGGTTTTCCCAAAATTACAATGTTTCCTATTGGTCGCTTCTCTTTGGTCTCACCTCAGTTTTCATTAGAAGAATGCAAGCATAAAATAAATTGGAGTTTCAGAAATATTAGTGACATTCTGCCCTCTTCTGGTTGGAACGTTGTTGCTTTCCCTGTTCATAATCCCTTTCCAATCCATTAACCACAAAATCTGGTAATTTATTATTACGGAAATAGACTAGAGCTAAAACTGAATGAAGTAATAAAATGAGATACACTATAGCTGTTCAGTAGCACTGCCACGTAAGACATTTCTGCTGCTTTTCTAAATCATTTATTTGTCTAATTTTTGCGATTTCTGAAGGTGTGGCACCTCAATTTTTAACACTATTTTTACTACAACTCCCAGAATCTAGAAAAACAAGCTGAAATCATGAAAGCTATCAATGTGCCTTTGTCATCAGAAGAGATCTGAATTTTTTTGTGAGGGAGAAGTCACATGCATTCCTTAAAAAGGCCTGAGGCAAATCATGAAGCCTAGGGGTTTATGGGACAATTGGACATGGGAGCGGAGGCAGGTGAGGGTGTAGGAAGAATCTGGGGGCAGCAGAAATGGCTTTGGAGTGAAATGGTGTCTTGAGGCCCTGACCTATCGACTGAACTATTGGAAGTTCCTACAGTTTGTGTTGGAGCTTAAAAATAATTAGTCTTTAACAAGTAATTATCTATAATTAATTCAGATTTATAGATCCAACACTAAGTTGCATTCTAATTGCAATAGCAGCTATTTTTAGTTATTTTTTTATAAATACAAGTTATGTGTGGCCTTATTTCCTGGTCCACAGTTTCTTAAGACCAGCCAAATGCCACAAAATTGTCCATTCCTTCATGTCCTTCAAATCTCTTTGCCAGACTTGGTAATACAGAAGTATTTTATAACATATACTAGCAAACTGTAGCATTCTGATGGTTTTACGTAACGGCCAAATCCAATACTTTGTGGTTTCAAGCAGAAAAGAGTCATTGAATCAATACTGAATGAAAGGTAATCCCTCATGTAAATCCCACTGATTTAATAGATTTACTCTACTTGAAACTACCTATTGAATAAAGGCCAGAGCAACTTAAAAGTAACTTGTAGTTACTTTTCTATAACAAGTAATGGTTACTGTAAAAAAACAAAAAAGGCAACTATGACAGCAACTTTGAGAGCCCTGGAACTGTCAATGTAACCAACAATTTTTTCAAAATAACTGTCCAGGCTCTGTCTTCTCCCTTTTCTTGCTGGCCAGAAGGGTCCTCCTTCCCTGAGTAGGTCTTGCAACCTTGTCCTAGGTGGACTGTGATTGCTCTCTGCGAATGTTGGGGCTATGTGGGTAATGTGAGCGTGATACAGCTCTTCTCCATCCTCCCCTTTGTGAGCAGTGCTTAAGCTCTCAGTCTCCAGGCTCTCTGGAGCAAGAAGGCTGACAAGGGCCATGTGGCTGTTTTGCCTGGTAGAGGCTCTGAGATGCCTGGACTTGTTTTCACACACCGTCCTCTCTCCTCTTGCTTGCTTGCCACTAGGGACTCTGATGGTTCTGTGGAAACAAGTAAGGCAAGCAAATTTTGCTCCTTGCTGCAGCTGGGTAGACTGCTCCTGAACCTTACGTCTATTTCCCACTGGTTTTGGCCCAGTTTTGGCCACTGGTTTTGGCCCAGTTCCCAGAATTTGATAGCTAGCATAGCTGAATATTCTCAAGCTCTGCAACTGCCGTTGCCTTATTGAAATGTTATTGTATTTTTACAGTGTTTCACTCATAAGCCATCTTGGAAAATTTTAGACCCTTTCATTTGGGATCCAAAGAATTATAATGAGTATAATTTTAAAATTACTCGGTCAAGTATTAGACAGCACCAACATCCATCTGTTGTGATTTACTGCAATGTATGAAAATATTAAAAATGCATAACGGAATAGCTAGGAATGGACTGGCTAAATTAGCAGAACGGCTGTGGTGGACTTGAATTATTTATATGAAAGCTGACTGTTTTAAAATTTAAAAAAAACCTTTCCTGTTGGCTTTTGAATAATATATTAATACTGCATAACATACAAAGGTTTCTGTAATTTGATGTAATGTATTATTGCCTTCATATTGTGCCCAAAAGAATGAGAACAGAACAACCCCCCTGTGTTCAGACAGGTATTCAGTTAGCAGCCCAATTTCGTGAGTTGCTAGCAAACAGTTGCTGGTGGCAGCAGTTTTTACTAACTAAACATTTCATGATGAGGAAATGGAATACATGGAACATGTAGGGGCCTTGGGAGGGAAAAGGTGAATATTTAACTTCCAAAAAAATTATCCCAGCTATGACATCGTCAGCTTTACACCTTAGAACCTACACTACAGGAATCCAGCTTGAGAACAGAAACATATATAGCAGGCATTTGCAAAGAGGTCATTGAAGCAAGTTTTCCCATTTGTGAACTCTCCAAAGGAATCCCATGCTGACTTGATAGCACGTAACAACAACAACAAAGTCCTGAAGACCAGTCTGCAAACAAAGGAAACTTTCTCCAGAGAAGAAAGAAGCACTTACTGTGACCCAGAGACATTTTCATTGGTTGAAGAGTCTCCTCTTCTAATCACAGAGTCTTCATGACATCTGATTTTACCATAGTCCAAAAAA